CAGTTCAGCTGTGTTGGAAGCAGCTCCAGCCTCCTGTCAGCTCTCTGCAAAGGGGCTTTGCCACTGCCATGATTCCAGGAGCCTTCAAAGCAACTGCGCAAGGGACACAACTCCCTGGATTTTTATTCTGATGTGCCTGTACACAGCATTTCTGATTAACTGCTCCTTCTACAGGAGGGAAACACTGCATGTCTAAAATGACTTGTATGAGTATCTGAACGTGGGGTCTGCTGGAAGTGAATGCACCACAAGGAGTCAGTTCACACCCATTTATTGGACAGTCACTGTCAGCACTAAGATAACCGTGGTTGCTCCCAGGTCAGCAGCTGGAATGAGATGGTGCGTTAAAAGGCACAAATCCCTGCGGGAACTCGTCACTCGTAGATCCAGTCGTGGGCACAGGGCTTGAAGTCGATGAGCTCTGCGGGTTTGAACCACAGGTTGATCTCCTTCTGCGCGCTCTCCACGGAGTCGCTGCCGTGGATGATGTTTCTGTGGAAGGAGAAAAACATTGCTCCCTGTAAAAACACACTTCGAGCAACCTCGTCATTCTCCACATGCAAAAACTGGGATGAAGCATCTAGAGAGCTGCGAGACTATTGCTTTTATTTCAGGGCCAGTGTTCCACCACTCTGAGAGCTAATTAGGCCTAGCAGGGTCATTAGGGCGACTGTTCTACACCAGCCCCTGCCTGAGCTTACGTGCTGCTCTGAGGAGGAGCTGGATTTCAAACAGAGTCACTTTTGTACCATTTTCTTAAGTAGCAGTTATGGATTGTGACCTGCAAATGAAATACCATCAGATGAGGGTATCTACCACTAATTCTGGCTTTCCAGATATCAAAGACTGCCAACGGATTTCATGTTGGCAGTTAAAACATTGAGTAGTAGTTGGTTTTGATCTCAATTAATGAACTGAGTACAAACCTTCCCACTTGAATGCAGAAGTCACCACGGATGGTACCAGGCTTCGAGTCTGCAGGGTTTGTTTCCCCCAGCATTACTCTCCCAGTTTTAACCACATTGAGTCCTTCCCATACCTTAAGGCAAAAAGACAAAACCAGTCCTGTTAATCCATGCTTATACAAAATACCAAAGATTAATCTTTGCTAATAACATACTTTCCAAAGAAACAGGGGCTCTACCACTAAAAAAAACATTAACCTTGCCTAGATCATCTCTTAGGCCTGTAGGGGTGACTAGGGAAAAAAACCATATGAACTGGAAGTGAACCATCACCATTGTTACTCCAGTCAAGAAGATACTTTACCAAGCCTCAGACTTAAATAATGCACAAGGCCCACTCCAATGTCTTCTATTTTGGTAGGATAAGGACATCCTGATGAGCTGTAGGAGTTCCTAGTTAGATAGAGAGTCAAACCAGGAGATGCTACTGGAGCAAGTACATTGTTTTGAGGGGAGTGCAAGAAGGAATGACACAGAAGATGGGTTTCTGTGTCAGAGAGCCTCACCCTTTTTTGCCTAAAACAAAAGATTTTTGGTGTAGAAGATTTGCTCTCAGGAATTTTGCTTAATACATTAAGCATTTTAATACACATTTTATATGTGCACTTTCCTTCTTGTTAATATATAGTAATTTCCTGACTGTCTTAATTTTTTGTTTCTTTTGCCACTATCAGAACTGAGTAATTTGAAAAACTGTTTCTGTAACAGTATTTCTGAATAATTTAAAAAATTTACAGAGCAAGACAAATTTATTCAAGCAAGTCATCTTTAACTAAAATCAAGCCACTTACCATGGCCACAATAGGTCCAGAGTTCATGTATTTAACCAAACCAGGGAAGAAGGGTCGGTCTTTCAGGTCAGAGTAATGTTGTTTGAGAAGGTCTTCTGAGGCCTTTAAAAGGGCAGATGTAATATTAAATATCAGCATCTGAATATCATATCCCAAGAGGTGTTAGTGCTGCAAGACTATGGCACCGGTGACTGGGGGGTAATTAATGTTATCAGCAGGGCTGCAGTGCTGTTGTGGGTATCCATGTAAGCTCCTAACGTAAAATTAAAGGAGTGCACGGCCCCTTTGTCCTTTGTGGCAGTGCCACCGTTGCGAGCTGTCAACATTACTTCTTTGCATTGCAGTGACCCTCAGCGATAAGCAGCGCACGGGCTGCCTGGGTGCTGTTACCCAACACAACCTTTCAGTCAAGGTCGGTCCAGCTCTCAGTCGGGCTGCACCAAACCCTCTGGGCAAAACGTGCTTCCTTTGGACAGGGGGGAGATCCTGTGCTGGGCAGGAAGCTCGGCCTGATGCATCCGCTATCGGATTGCCATTCCGACGGAGAAAGAGCCGCAAAGGAAGATTGTCTGTGAGTGCCCAAGACATTCTGTGCGTACCCAAGACAATGTGTGTGTACCCAAGCCGCTCTGCGTGTGCCCAAGCCCCTCTCTGGCAGGCAAGGGAAGGCGTTTGGGGGGAAATGCGGGGACTCACGTGCACGAACTTCATGGCCACGAGCCGGAACCCTTTCTGCTCGAAGCGCTTGATGATCTCCCCGATCAGCCCCCGCTGGACGCCGTCGGGCTTGATGGCGATGAAGGTGCGCTCGGCGTTCCCAGCCATGGTCCTGCGGGCAGAGCGGGGCGACCATCGGCCTCAAGGTCGCCCGCCATGGCCGCGCCGCCCCGCCCGCCGCGCCCACGTGGCACGGCGGCGATGGGTGAGCCTCCCCCTGGCACCGCTGTGTGCCCCCGGCATCGCTGTGTGCCCCCGGCATCGCTGTGTGCCCCCCGCCCCGGCACCGACCCACCCGCCCGCCGCCCCCCGCGGGCCCCCCGAGCGCGGGGCCCGGCCCGGCCTCACCGCTCCGGAGCTCCCGCAGCCGCTGCCGCCCAAGGAAGAGGAGGAGAAGAAGGAGGAGGAGGAGGAGGGAGGGCGGCGGATCCCCCGCCCCGCGCAGAGGAGGAGCCGCCGGGCGAGCGGCGCTTCGGGGCGGGCCCGGCGGGGCGCGGGGAGCGCTTGGGAGCGCGCCCGGGAGCGCGCCCGGGGTCCCGCCCGCCCGCGGCCGCCAGCGCGGACAGGGACGAGACGGGACGGGACGGGACGCGATGGGATGGGATGGGGTAGGGTGGGATAGGACAGTGGCTCCTGGTGCCGTGCCCAGCGCTGCGCAACCTCGGCCGGCCCGGGGGGGGCTCTTGGCCGGGCTGTCCCCACCGCACCTGTCGCCTTCGCCTCCTCGAAAGCCGCCCGAGGGTTATTAGTTTACAGCTGCAGCAGCGGGGGCTTTAAGTCTTTAACACACTGAAGCGATTGCGGATGTTTAACTAAATAATTTTTTTTACTTATTGGTGCTGGCGCTGCCTTTTTCCTTTTTCAGATGTTCCTGCGGTCTGGCGGCGGATGGTGCAGCCAGCCTAGCACACCTGGAAAGCATATTTCTCACGGGAAAGTGATGTGGGATCTGTAACCCAGGGAAATTATCGGTGATTTTGCTGGGATTCAGGAAGATGAAGCTGAAAAACACAGATGTAAAACGACACGGTCCCTGTATGGTGTCTTAAGAAGAAGCGGGAAGGGTTGTTACTTTTTGTTATTAAACATTATGATAATTTGCCCTTTACTAGTTTACACAACACCTTTTCTCTTCCTGAGCGAGTTATAATCATACACAATCACTGCAGATGGGATATTAATGAAAAGCCCTTTGAAGTCCTTGTGCAGTCTCTTATTGATGGGACACTGACACTGGACCTGCTCGGGCACCTCAGCCATGCAGGAATGTTGCATTTCCCTGAGAGATGCTGACCTCCACCTCCTCCCAGTATCATCACATGAAAAATACTAATCAGCAGCTTTCTGACCACATCCCTCGATAACCCACGTTTCTCTATTTTGTAGTAATCAAATCAAGAAAAAGAAATCTCAAGTAACCTTTCAAGCAAAAATGGAACTAGAGACTATTCATCTCATGCCCAGGTTTGTCACATACTCCCTTTCCTCCAACACTTAACTTCAGTATTTATCTTCTATAACAGTGAATATTTTCAGAAGAGAAGCTCACAGCCTCACCTACGTACTTAGGGAATTTGTTTCATCTCCATATACTCATTGATAGAAGACAATATAATTAAAATATCTTTTTATTTCACTTAAGAAACAACAGTTGTTTCATTTTGTACCATCTCTTTAGGAGCTCAATATCTCTATGAAGTATCATAAGCATTCAGTTCAACATACATTGCACAGTTCATTATTTGAAACTCACCACAGGGAAAAAAAATCATGGGGTTGGAACAACTAATTCCATGAAACACTTGCTTGTAGTGAATATAATGTTGCAGGTAAATAAATACATAATATCAATCCCAACTCCTTCCTCATCCAGTACAACTTTTGCTGTTAAAAGTTCTGCAAGAGGACGATGTTTTCTCCTTTAGAAGCAGAGACCTCTACTGAAATACCTTCAGCATTATTCTGACTGTACTTCTTTACATCATTAAATTAATACAAAACAATATTGCCAAAGTCACTTCTGAGACATTTCATCCAAGGACAGTTTGCTTTGTAATGCCAACTACTAAGGAAAGGACACAAATGAGAACAAACCTAAATTATCAGACCCTAAATTATCAGCTGTTCAGCCAGCAAAGCAAACATCATTTATTGCTCTGTGCAGTGCCAGGGGGCTGCTGCAGTGAAGTGGCTGAAGGTAGATCTCCCTCATTCATCCTCACATTAATCTTCTTTTTACATAAAAGGGCATTTCATAAAGCCTGGCTGGTTAATCTTTCCTTAAAATGCTAAATAAATCCCATGTGGGGGGCGGGGGGTGGAAAGCAAGGTAAAACTGTTAGTGTGGAGGGCAGTTGTTATGTTAATCAGAGCTGAGCTCTGTGTACGGCCATAGAGCGTTTTGGGGGGAGAAACAGGCTTTTTTTCTGCAGCTGTTTTGGGCATGGGGCACACACGATATCAAATTCAGACCTCAACATTTGGACATGTTATCAATATACTCACATACCACCAGTTGTCCTTTAACATTTAAATAAAGTTAACTGCTAACACCAACCCATTTGCACGTTGAATTATTGGATATTTTTTTAACAGCAACAAAAAAATTTTTCTATTTACCAAAATACTCTCTATGGCTATAAAATGTTCCAGGAAAATATATATTTTTCATATGCTCTGTGTTTTAATCTCATATCTCTCAACCCCAGAGGCAGCTTTTTTTTAAAGTACAATTCCATCTATAACTTCACAGCTTTTAAATCAAAGCAGCAGCAAACACTGACTCTACTTAACGTTCACAACAACAGAGCAGTCTCACAGATTTCTGAGGTTTCTACCAGGGCTTTGGAATAGCTAAAGGCTGGCAGCTGCTCAGGGGCTGTAGGGATATCAGAAGATGCAGGCTCAGTGTTAGTCATAGATCCACTCATGAGCACAGCTTCGGTAATCAACCAGTTCTTCAGGAGTGAACCATAAATTGATCTCTGTCTCAGCGCTTTCCACAGAATCACTTCCGTGAATGATGTTCCTGGGAAAATAAAAGGTGGATAAAAGAGTAAGAGAATCCTCAAACTCAAAACAGAGCAAGCCTCTTGTTTAGAAGTGGTTTGCATTAGGGAGAGGAGCTTTAAGCATCTGTACAGCTGCAGCAGGCACAGCACAGTCCCAGCTTTGCTCCTTATTTTTGTCAATGGGGACAACCACGACTCAGTTTCCATCCCTAGAGCATAACATTACTTGGGCCCAGGGAAGGGCAGCTCCATGGGTAAGATAGAGAAGGATGGAGCACAGTTCCTCCATGTATCATGACAGAACACTTGATATTTATTGTCTTTGAATGATATCAAGAGTTTCAAAACATACCTTCCAACTTGAACACAGAAGTCACCACGAATAGTGCCAGGCTTGGAATCAAATGGATTAGTTTCTCCCAGCATCACCCTTCCTGTCTTAATCACGTTAAGACCTTCCCACACCTTAGAATAAAAAAAAAATTTAAAAAAATTAAAAAAAAAAATACATTCATTGAGATTATTAAATCTTAGCAGCAGATACTTTCCACAAGGACACAGGGCTGCCCATCATGGCAAAAGTCACCATCTGAATATTTGTTTTAGTGAGACATATTTTATCTCCAATTTTTCTGTCAGACTCATGAAGTGTCTGCTGACATTCTCCTCTAACAGCACATCTTCTTAATTACGGTATTTGAATCTAGGTTTTTAGGTCCTTTCAAAAGTAAACCAGAATTCAATAGGTACCACAGTCTCTTTGCAGGTAAGACAAGCAGTGTTTTTCTGAGCTGAGCTTCACTGTCAGGGACTCACCATGGCCACAACAGGTCCCGAGTGCATGTACTGCACCAGCCCATCATAGAAGGGCCGGTCCTTGAGGTCGATGTAGTGTTCTCTCAGAAGGTCTTCAGAGGCCTGTGTTAAAAACCAGCCAGACAAACAAAAAAAGCTCACTGTAAGAACTTAAGAGCATAGTGAAATCACAGAGATTAAGCACAGAGCGCTGGTAATCCGGAAACTTGCACGCACTTCAAAATTCCGAATTTCTAGCATCTTCCTTGGAGCAACTTCTGGTCTATATGAATTTGAACTGTTTGCTTTAACCACAGCTGAGCTTAGAAAAGTGTCTGCTACCAGTACAGATGGTTTATGTGACCTGGGATTTGTGGAAGATATTCAGAGATGTTTATTAGGCATGGGATGCACCTGAAACATTCTCTTCAGGCTAAGGACATCAGGTTACTAAAATTAGCATGCTTAGCATGCCTAAAGCATTTAGCCAGAGCTGGGAACTGGAACTTTTCCAGAAACACCCAAAACAAGACTTCTCAAAATTTCAGGTTTAAATATTCTGCAGTCTACATTTGTTGGTCCATCATGCTGCTGCTTTATTTGAAGGCTGCCAGTGATATGAAACAAAGGGGAGACATAGCAATTAAGGAGAGCTTACATGTATTAATTTCATGGCCACCAGTTTGAATCCCTTCTGCTCGAAGCGCTTGATGATCTCCCCGATCAGCCCCCTCTGGACTCCGTCGGGCTTGATGGCGATGAAGGTGCGCTCCTCGATGGAAGCCATCGTCCTGAGGGGGGAGAGAGGGAAGGGAAGTCGTTATCCCAGGAAGGGCAATCCCTGCCCTGTGTCTCCCGTAACATCGGCTGCATCTTAGGGACGGTAACCCACGGTCCCCACCGATCGCTGCACACAGGTTTTCACAAGTGCTGCGGGAGCGAGTTTAAAGCAGTTTTCCCAGTACAGAAACAATTAGCCAGCATTAAAATCAGCAAAGCTCCGAACGGAGGGGAAGGTAAAGACCGTCGCGGATCCACCTCCCAGCGCCGTGCAATAAATAAATCCACACAGGAGGAGTTTTCAGCGGGAGGAACCCGCTCGGCCGGAGGGCTCCGCGCCCCTGCGCGGGTGAGGAGCGCGGACACACCGCGCGGGGGGCTGCGGGGATGCTCCGCGGGGATGAGGGGCTGGGGGCTCTGCCCAGCTCTGCCCAGGACACCCTCCCGCTGCCCCCTCTTCCCGCCTCACCCTCTGGAGGTCCCGGCGGCTCCTGCAGCCCGTGTCACCCGCTGGTGGCTTTGCCACCGCTTTGTCTGCGCGGGGACCAGCCCGGCTTAGCCCCGAGTTCCCCCCCGCCCCCGCGGTTGCCATGGGGACAGCGCGGCCTCCCGCCTGCAGAGGACGCTGCTCCCCCCCCTCCATCGCCCCCCACCCGCATCGGGCCCGCCCCGCACCCGCCCAAGGCTTTTGGGGTATCCTGTTCCCTGCCAGCCCCGGCCGGGTCACACCGGCACCCACCGGGTGTCTGTTCTCCCCTAAGCCGGGGATGTCAGGCTGAGCCCTTCCAGCTTTTCATCCCGTTTTTTTTTGGATCCTGTTTTTTATATAACGGAAGGCATGTAATATTACCTCAATAAAAATATCATTATCATACTATTCTGCTCTAAGTTTCTGCTTTAAAGAAGGCCATTAGTTTTGTTAATGTTGGTGGTGTTGTTGTTTTGCTGGTTATACTACATCATTATACTGAATATTATTATATTTGATACTGTATTGGCTCTCTGAGCCCAAAGACCTTTCATCAATTTGACAACTGAACTGTTCTGCCTTTCGCGTTTTACTGCCTTTCAGAGAACTGAGGATAAAGCATCTGGACGGAAATCCGTGCTTGTCCTGCTTTTGTTTCCCAAACTGGGATGAACTTCCTGGGCTCCACTCCCTGGCTCTTCTTGAGAGCAAAGTTTCCCTTCCCTCTGGGCAGGACTTTGCTGCTGTTTAACAGGGGGAAGTTCAGCTTTTTGATAGCATGGATTTCCTTATTCAGGATCCCTTTTCTTTGCCACATTCCATGACACATCCATGTGCTACTTTTAGTTCTGGTGGGAGACTCCAGATCTGGCATAAGTATCTATTTATATGGTTACTAAGATTCAGGTTTCTTTTCCCCAGGTATGATCATGGTATGATGGACTCATTTTTCCAAGATGTCTGATTTAATAAATGATGTTTTAAAAACATTGTTTAACAAGTCCCCCTTGAAGTTATTTTGGACTTAAAATTTCTGATTATTCCCCTGACAGTGTCAATCCTCTATATTCTGTTGTTTCAATACACATTTCTTTGAGATGTTTTATACTACTAAAACTAATGCTCTAATCCTCACTATGGCAAAATAATACTTAAACATAAAAAAAAGGTCTCTAGAAACAGGATGTTTGGAAAAATATGAACTTAAAAGGAGCAACAGGACATCTATTTACAGCCTTGTTAAATCTATGCCATTTAATGATTAAAGCTTAGGACTTGCCCTAAGGTGGGCAAGCACTATTTCCAGCTTTACCATAGGTCTGCTCTGTGATCTTCGCCAAGTCTTTTAACCTCATTAAATAAGGGTCATCTTTGTCACTTCTGAGATTAATCCATGATTAACAGAGCAAGATGTGCATCATGTGGTACATGAAACACCACAGAACTTAGGCTTCCTTGTTATTTTTACTGTATAAATGAGCAGATTTATTGCTGTCTGAAAGTTCTACCAGATCACGAAATTACATTGACATTTACATGTTTATCTAAAATGTGAAGAAGCAGAGTCCACACAAATAATTTCCTAAAAACAGGCAGATCATGGGAGAGAAGTAAACCCCTGCAAAGTCCTCAGTGAGTGAATGAAGTGTAATTGCTGAGCTCAAACTGTTTACACATTCCTTAAAATGAGCAGAGATTTTTTTTTAAAACAGGCCCGAAGAAAAAGATTGACTGTGAATGTCTCCAGACTTCAGAAGAATTCAAACATAATTCTTATTTTGGGTGGTTTTGTCCCATCTGTGCATTGATCTCAGCTCACAGCCTCTGCCTGTACCACATTTGGGGGGTTCTCATTTTGTGCTGTGCCCCGCCTGCTCCTTATAACCAGACTCCTCAGTCTGACATGTTTTGTTGTTCAAGGCTTTACTACTCTTCATTTAGCTGAGTGCTGCTGTCATTAATCAGTCTTTACCTCAATTTCTGTTGTGCTTTAAGAAGTAAAGCACCACAGAATTAAGCTTTCACCAAAATTTCTTCCTCTGTGTGAAGTCCCAGGTAAGCTCTTCTCATCCCAGACTGATCCAAGGGCTTATTTTCTTCCCTGGTAAATTGCAAATCAATTTACTTTCAAGATAACTGTTTTTTCTAGGGATAGGTAATGTGATTTTTCTTATTATCCAGAAAACTTATTTGTCAGTCAGTTCTTTCCCCAAGAATGTGGTGGCATTTTACTCTGCTAGTTACCACATACAGCCACCACTTTCAAGCTACAAAGACAGTTCTATCAGGTTTCTTTGTGCTGTTTCATATGCTTGATTCATTTGCTAAATTGGCAGGTCATCAGGGTCCCTTAATCTCCTGGAAAGAAACTAGAATATCATTCCATACCGCCTTCAATTTTTAATTCATCCCTGAGTTTCTGATCTCACACTGAGTGCAAGGTGCACATCATAAAATGTGATCACTGTGGTAAGACTGTCAATAAGACACATTTTTACACCACTTAAACTCCCAGGTGACTTTTCTGCTCTCCATCTTTTTAAATACTTCATTATCCCACACTAGAGAACCCCCATATGACTAGAAAAAAACCCAAATGTCCCCTTTACCTGTGCTTGTCAGTCTGACTGCAACCGCGGTGGCAACGGCAGCTTGTTCAGTGATGCACCTGCTCTGTCTGGGAAAGAAAACCACATCCATACATTTTCCTGACAGAGACAGGATAAAAATAGCATATCCTCAGAGACCCCTTTGCTAAAGGCTGTCAGCAGACACCTTGACCCACTTCTGCCGTCTGTCAGAACACACGTCTTTGAGGTAACGTATTTGTGCCTTTTGCCAAGCAGGATGTCAGTGGCTATAAACCCTGCACAGACAAAAGGATCTCTGCAAGATTCCAGGGGATTGGTGCTTTTATCCTCACAATAATCTGCAGTTGTTTAGAGCTGTCCTCACGTTGTGCAGAGTTACACACGAACAACAACGTGGTGAGGTCCAGGTTAAGAGTTCACGGCATAATTAGCTGTGGCCTGCCCGGCGGGGGCAGGATGGAGTTCCCTCTCCACCTGGGCTGTTTGCAGCCTTCCTGCAGGATTTATTCAGGCTCAGGAAAGAAAAAACTCTAGTCAATAACTGCTACCCCAAGGGCTCTCAGTGCCTCCCACAACACAAACCACCGAGGTGAACAGGAACTGTGTATGACCCACACAGGGAGGGAGAAATCCCGAGGGACGGCTTCCCACGGCACTCCTGTGGCTGGGGAAGGCTTTAATCTGTGGCAAACAGCAGAAAAACACGGAGGAGTTGCAGTTTTTCCTCAGTGGACAACTGCTAAAGAGAAATAGGGAAAAATAATATCTTCTTTGGAATCTTTTCCAATAATTTAAATGAAAGTTTCACTCGAGGTGATGTATGAAAGCACCCATTGTCTTTTTAGAATTATTTTTTAGCTAAAATTATGTAAATTTTTGGTCAGAATTGAAAGACAAACAGCTTTACTTCTGTTGTGATTATAAATAAACTTGTATTTTAAGTAGCTGCAGCATGTCAAAATATTAGCTTAGGAGGATGATGTCTAAACAGAACTCAGAAGAAATCAAAAATATGGGGCTGAAGTATTTTCTCCTTTGTCATTCCTGCGCAGACTCACTAGCTGAGTACATAAAAAGAGATCACAGCACATGCATTTAAAGCACAGTTTCTGTCTCAAAACCATCCCAAATGAGAGAAAATACAGTGCAAACCTCTGCTGCTCTCCAGTGGAACTGAATGCAATCACCACACTTGAGAGTTCCATCACTTCTTGAGCTTTGGCACTTTTTAAAACACTCATTTCTTTGTTCCTGGGCTGCTGCCTGGCCAGTGGATTCCTCAGCTCCCTGTACATGGAATATCACTTAATTAAAAACAAGGATTTCCCCACATTTGAATTGTATGATAGAAATTGTGCCAGAGGAGGTTTAGGCTGGATATTAGGAAATGTTTGTTCACTGAGAGTGTGGTCCCTGGCACAGGCTGCCCAGGGCAGTGGTGGAGTCACCACCCCTGGAGAGACCTGAAAGACGTGCAGATGTGGCACTTGGGGACATGGTTTAGTGGTGGCCTTGGCAGTGCTGGGTTAATGGTTGGAGTTGATGACCTTTGGGATTTTTTCTAACCTAAATTGGATGGTGCTATGTAAAATGAGGGATGTGAAGCAACTCTGAAACTTTTCAATCTCAGTCCTTTGAAATTGAACCTGAATGTCTAAAACAGCTCACACTGTTCCTCGACGGAACACATGATCCAGAATGGAATTCACTGTTCCAAATCCTAGGAAAATCAATCTCTCTTAGCATGTGCAAGATGTCTTCTAATCTCTATTACTGCTAAGAAAACAGGATTTCTGATATTGATTTATCCGTAGACCTTATTAGAACTGAAAGTCCTTTTTGCCAATACAGCCAATACAGCACTTCCAAGCACGGCTTGCGAGCTGCGGAGTCCCAAAATCCGGGACCTAAAATCCTATCTCTGCCAGTCATCCCCCAGTGAATCACTTGATCTATTTATGCCTCCGTGGGTGCGATAAACAAATACCACCGCTGCCACGGGAGCCGCCAGACGGCACCGCCTGGCATCTCCCACCCCAACTGGGAGCTCTGCCCACGGGCAGGGCTGTTCTCTCCGGTGACCTGGAGCATCCTGGCCTGTATCAGGAATATCAGGAATACTGTAGCCAGCAGGAGCAGGACAGTGATTGTGCCCCTGTACTCGGCACTGGTGCTCCGTTCAGCTTTGGGCCCCTTGCTTCCCAAAGGACACTGAGGTGCTGGAGCGTGTCCAGAAAGGGAGAACACAGCTCGTGAAGACAGCAGACAACATGTCTGATGAGGAGCGGCTGAGGGAGTTGGGGGTGTTCGGTTTTCAGAAGAGGAGGCTCAGGGGGAACCTCATCACGCTCCACAACCATGCAGAAGGTTGTAGCGAGGTGGGGTCTCGTCTGCTGTGAGAGGACAAGGGGAAATGGCCTTAAGCTGAGACAGGGGAGGTTCAGTTTAGATACCAGAAAAAAACATTCCCACTGTCCGTCTGTTCTGACATTGGAACGGGCTGCCCAGGGCGGTGGTGGAGCCACCATGGGAGGCGTTCAGGAGGAGCTTAGTGACGGGGTTTGGTGGTTTGGTGGTTACAGTGCTGGGTTGATGGTTGGACTGGACGATCTTAAAGATCTTTTCCAGCCTCGATAGTCCCGTGACTCCGTGGCCCCCGACGTGTCCCCGACAGGACGGGATGACCCAGCCCCGCTCGGCTCGGCTTTTCCCATCTCCCAGCACCGGAGCCATGCGGGAACCTCCCCCGTGACGTCACCAAACAGCACCGCCCGCTCGATGACATCACCGCACATACCCCGCCCCTCGTGACGTCACGCACCACACAACCCCGCCCCCTCTTGACGTCACGGCGCGGCCCCGCCCGGCGCGGCGGGTGAGGTCAGAGGCGCGCGCCGCTGCCGCCCCGGCCGAGGCTCCGCCGCCGCCGCAGGAGGGGCCGGACCGAGCCCGGACCGAGCCCGGAGCCGCCGCCGTCCCCGCCGGGCCCCGCCAGGGCCCCGCGCTTCCCCCGCCGCGGCCATGGAGCTGGCGGACGGCGTGGTGTACCAGGAGGACCCCGGCGGGCCCGGCCCCGCCATGATGTCGGAGCGGGTGTCGGGGCTGGCGGGCTCCATCTACCGCGAGTTCGAGCGGCTCATCGGGCGCTACGACGAGGAGGTGGTGGCCGAGCTGATGCCGCTGGTGGTGGCCGTGCTGGAGAACCTGGACTCGGTGTGCGCGCACAGCCAGGAGACCAGCGTGGAGCTGGAGCTGCTGCGGGACGACAACGAGCAGCTGCTCACGCAGTACGAGCGGGAGAAGGCGCTGCGCAAACAGGCCGAGGAGGTGAGCGCGGAGCGCGGGGGCGGCGGCGCTGCCCGGGCTGGGGCCGCCCCGGGCGGAGGGCGAGGCAGAACCGGGGCCCGGCGAGGGGGAACCGGGGCCCGGGAAGCCCCAGCCGGGGCTGGGCGAGGGGCCGGAGCCACCGGTGACGAGCTGAGGTCGCGACGCCGCTCCGGGAGGAGGAGGAGAATGAGGAGGAGGAGGGAGCGCCCCGTCCCTGCCCGGTCCGAGCGGCTCGGCCTGCAGCGGGACTCGGGCGCGCTGTGCCCTCGGTGTTCGCAGCGTCTGCTCCCGGAGGGATCCCGGATAGCCCCTCCGGAGCGTTCCCCGGGCACAGCAAACAGGGACCCGTGCGGTCGCTGCGCTGTCGCGGCCCCTCCGGGTGCGCTCCGTGCCGGGAGCTGGATGTCGAGACCAATGGGTGTAAATGCCTTTTAGAGGGTATTTACAAAAAATAGTGGCGATGCACTCCGAAAACCGCAGAGATACACCGTGTCTAGGCTGAAGCTCTTCGGAGCCGGTGCATCAAGCCGCAGGCAGCAACAGGTGGTGGTGGACTGTTCAATGACATCGGCTCTGGCTTGAGACAGAGTCGCTATTAGATGGGCTTATTTCAATTTTTGTACTAAGAATCACTTTGGCATAAATAAACTCACAAAGCGTTGTCTCCGGTGAGATTATAAAACAATGCAATAGAAAGCAGCTGTGCAGGATAACTTCCTCCAGCTCTATTGTCTTGCCAAACTCCTGAAGGAAATTGGATTGACAGCATTATCTGTAATAGAACAAGCCATCTTACAAGTCTATTTCCAGACTTCTTGTCCCGTGCTTATCTCTCTTGTTGTGCTTGCCTTGTAAATTTTCCAAAAATCAGAGGAATAGTGATATGGAGGGTAAAGACAACACTGACAATGAAAGCTTAATTTGAAAAACATTAACCATGTAAAAACATTCATTTATGTTTCGGTTATAAATGAGTGCAAAATGTTGTCTGCTTATTATTATTCCAGGTCTTAGTTATGAAGTGCTGTGGTATGGATGATGCCCCCCCAGCTCTTGGTCTGAGTTACCATTCATCCTCCTTGTGAAACGTGGTTGTTTTATGTTGCCTTATGGACTTCAGTCAGGGGACTGTTGGCATAAAGACTTAATCACTAGCTTTGACACAAGCTGCACGTACAAGGCTTTTTAGGAAAACATATTTCTGTTGGGAGGAATAGGAAGGGACTGATAAATACTTTCTTAAACAATTCACAGGAAAATCAATCAGGCTTGAAACACAAGCAGCATTTGCCAGATTGAAAAAAGAAGACCTTGGGCAGTGGAACAAAAACTGTACCAACATGATGAAAGAGAATATGGGGTTAATTATGTTGCTGTGGTTCTTAAGGAGCTGTAGTGCCTGTGTTGGTAGTGCCATCTCCATTTCTGTGTGTCATGATAAATTAACTTAAGGGGACAAGCATTATGCAGTTTAAAACCCAGCACTCATGCTGCTAGACAGCTTCCTGATGCTTTCCAAAGTGCAGGTAGACCACAGATCATATTCTCATTTTAAGCACAAAGGTCCTTTTTGTGATGTGCTGAGGTCACTGGGCTGTACAGGTGTGAACGTGTCTGTCAGGTACAGAGTGGCATGTTCAGGAGAGGCACATGTTGTAGTCAGGCATGATTGTTACAGCTATTTTTGTGATGCTGGAGTAGCCTGATGGGGTTGAAATACAAGGAGGGAACAGGAATACAACACTATTTTTCGTGGACAGGAAGTTGCTGGCTTAGTGTGTTTCTTTTCTTTCATTGTGGAAGTTGCTTATGTAGGGTAATGGCAAAATGGAGAATTTTGAGCTACTGAGTTCAGTTTTTCATATCATCTAGTCACAGAATGATTTGGGTTGGAAGGGACCTTAAAGCTCATCTCATTCCATGAGCAGGGACACCTTCCACTATCCCAGGTTGCTCCAAGCCCCATCTGACCAGGCCTTGTACACTTCCAGGACTGGGGCAACCACAACTTCTCTGGGCAACCTGTGTCATCTGCTGTGACTGTCCTGAGGAATTAACATACCTTCTTTTACTTTCTGCTTGGTACTGTAGGAAATTTTGTGTGTAGCAGTGTCTTAATGAACATTAATAGTTTACTATCTGCATAGGAATCTCTTTACCCCGTTGTCCTAATTCACTTTCTTTATTTGCTGTGCTTAAAAAGCGTTACTACAGAAACGTCATGAAAGTTGTTGCCTGTAGACTACTGAAATAATTTATTTTTTTTGAGAGTCACCTTAATGGAAATTCTGGGCCTGTTTCTCAGTCCTGTGGGTAACAGTCCCAATTTTTGTAGTTGCTGTGAAGTGCCTTGTCTGACTTTTAATAGGGTAAGTTTTGTGATATCGCTGAAGGAATGGAGGAACCAGCTGTTCTGCTGTTCTGCTTCCAGTTCTGCATAACTTACCTTCCCACTTGGTGACTGGGAGGCACCACGTCCTGCCACAAAGAAGTGGGAGAGGAACCAGCACTTGGGGTTCTTTTACACACCCTAAGTGTTCCTTCTGTAGCCGTGACCTGCTTCAGTCCTGGGGGTATGGCTGGCAGGTGTTCTGTGTAGACTTGGCAACGGGATAAAATCTACTTTTAGCCATGTCAAGTTAATGCATCTTTTAGCTTTTCTGCTGCTGGTGGGATTAAACTGTTTTTGAAATATTTTGCAACCATGAAAAAGGATTTCCCACCACAAAAATTGGTTTAAGTGATAGCGTGAACTTGATGTCTGCCTTTTCTTACTGTTCCCAAAGTTAGCTTTCTTCTTTAGGATTGTATGTTAAGTAAACACTCAGCAGTAAGAGTTTAAGTATGTTTTATTTGAGAGAACAAAACTGGGATCCAGTTTACAGAAAGGTGTAAAATAATGTGGAAGTTACCGGGTTGTTTTCAGTTATATGTATTTTTCCCTGCCCCAAGTTCAGCTGAGCTGGCTGTGTAGTTGATTTTTTTTCTCCCTGCTCCGGGAGGAACATGCCAGTGGCTGGGAATCTGGCATCATTGCAGTGCAAGCTACTGAAGGACATGTCACAGGATAATAAAGATTGCCAAGTGGGTGGGAACCTGACATCGGATACGCTCAGTATTGCACCTGGGTCGTGTGACAGGAAAATAAGTCTGAACATAAAGAGACAGAAGATGACACAAATAGAGGAAAAAATGTTTCATTTGGCCAGTAACGTGCTGCTGAGTGATTCAGTGGTTGAGAGAGGGCTCCAAACGTGTGTGATGTGCCACTCTGGGGTCTGGGTTCGTATTTATTTGCAATTATCGCTGTAAACTTTAAAGTAGTTTTGAAACTGATGACATAAAGGCTTCTGAGTCTAACTGGTGAAGGACTTTTCACACTTTTATTGGAGCTCTTTAAGAACAGGTTGGACAAAGGTCTGTCTGAAATGACATGGTTGATCCTGCCTGGAGAAAATGGGACGGATTAAGTGGGAGTTGCCAAACATAGTTGCTGAAGGTATCACAGGCTTGGGTTTCAGCAGCAGGCACATGCAGAGGGAGGTGTGCATCACATCCTGTGCTTCCACCTCATCATAGCCTGATCAAAATTAACACTGAACATCAGAGCCTTGAAACAAGATGACCTTTTAAGGATCATTCTAGCTGTATCTTCTGTGATCTTGTGTAATTTGGTCTGATTGTTTTAAAGATGAACTTGTGTCCTTCAGCTTGTTCTTGGGGAAAAAAAAAAAGTCAAAAAAATCTCACTTCTCATTAGAGTTGTAAGATACATCATTGTGGCCCAGACAGGATGTCACTTAGAATGAGGAAAACCTAGATTTTTGTCTGTGTCAGTATTTTGTATAACCAGTGGCTGGGACTGAAATAAGAGGATGTCTAGTATCCATGTATTAAGTGCTTAATATGCTGCTGGATTTACATTAAACAATGCAAGCAATATGCAGTATTTGAGTATATTGTCAATGTAAATAAATAAATTAAAAAAAAGTCGCTTTATTTGGGTGCTCAGCCTGTCCTTGGCTGCTGTGGTGGTTTATCTGACTAGTCCTTCCATCATACTCATGCAGGCTTAGTCAGGGTGGGATGATCAATCTGCTGGGGCTGTGATAATACTATCACTGAAAGGAGAAATGAAACCAAATAGAAACATTCAAAGTCTAAAGTCCTCAGTCCCTGATTTGATCAGATCGGGTCTGGTTTTCAGGTAGGGTGAAAAAAACCAAAAACATCTGTAATTACAAAAATGCTTTGAAGAATTAGTAACATAAATTCAAACTTTAGGCAAATGAAGGCAAACTAGTGGAAGGTAACAAAACTGTTGTAGACAAAACAAGTTTTCCTACTTGCAGTTGAAGAACTTGAGAAGAAACACAAAATGATACTTGTCTTTAGTTTCATGAGTAACAATGACACTGATGGCTCTGAATGACTGTTTATTCATAATTGTCACTGGCCTTTTGCAAGCTATGAGACATGTCTGACTTGGGAAATCATCAGAGAAACAACTAAACAAAGATGTTACAGTTTTATAATTCTTCTTTCATGTTTTCCCATGTTTAGGGTAACAAACTGTGTTGGTCTTTAGCCCCAGTGCCAAACTTGCGTCAGACTTTGAAGCCCTTTTTGAAAAGGGAGTCTGCTAAGAATGGGCCAGACATGACTTGAATCTTTAATGTAAAAGGAGCAAAAGTCTGGTATCAGTGACTACAAAGGAGGTGTGAAACAAGCCTAAAGGTTGAGGTTTTCAACACTACATCAACAAATGAATATTCCCAAACTTTGTGTTGAGGAGGCAGGAGGACTTCTGCACATCTGAGGATTTTCAGGGTGATTTAGCCCCACAGCAGGGCTACCTGGGCTGCTGTCAGCTGTTCCCCAATTGTTTTGTGATGTAGCTTCAAGCACAGTCATATGAACACCATGCCTAGTCCTGTGATAGCTGCTGTGAGAGCTTGTCTGAAAGGAACTCTTGTTCCACTTCATAGATCTTTGCTGCATTTCTACATCTGAAGTACTTTTTAAGCAGGGCTGCTTCTGATGGCCCTGCTAAACTGAAGCTCTTTTCATAGGGTTAAGAATTTCTGCTTTTGTGAAAGCCCTAAATCACATTGGCTAAAACGTAGTAGGAGCTTGTTAATAGTTGATGTGTGAGCGTTTGAAGCAATTTCCCTACTAATTTTTCCTAGCAATAAATAGGAAAAAAATATTCAAATCACAATACTATTTTAAAGTTGCTGCTTCCAGTATCTCTTTGCTTCCATGTGGTGCCCAGCTGCAGCTTCCTTTCTGACCCTTGGATGTTTAGAGTTTTTCTCCAGAGGCTTCTGGTCCAGTTTTCCTCCTTGTTCCATGAACCTTGTGCATAACTTGTGTTGGTGGCCTTGCCTTCCTTGCAGTGCAGAGCACAGAGTGCTGCATGACCTCAGACATCTCTGGCTATTAGAAATATTCTTTGTGCTGCCAATACACATTGAACTCCTTAATTTGTTGGTCGTGAGAAACAGCAAAATATGTTTTAAAAACTACTATAATGGTGATTTGGTAATTTCAATATTGTGGAGTGTAAACAGTGATAGATTCGTCATAGAACTGCAGAATATTGTGAGACACAAAGTTGGCAGCTGAAGGTAGCAGAAGGTGAAGGTGATCAGCACAGTTGCAGAGTGCCCATAAAGACACTTCTGTGCAGTTGACAGATTGTAGGAGATGGTTATTAAGTGTTTGATGAAGACTGTGAGCATTTATAACCTATCTAAGGATAACAGAAGTTTGGTGGGAATGAAAAGATAGCATGTAATTTTGATTGGCACTGCTACTGCTACCCTGTTGCACTGTCTGTACCTTCATGGCTTACAGGTGGAAATAACTTCACTGCTGCTCAGTCAAACTGAGGGCACCAACACTCCTGGTATTCACATGTTGGCAGTTGTTGTACATGAAGTTAGAAAATAATGAAATAATCCATATTTCTGTTAATCCCAAGCAGGTTCTCTGAAGTAGTTGGCACTTAGTTAGTACACAGAGCATCCTAGCTTGGGTGTTGGATGGACCTGGTCTGAAATAGTCCTTTGAGTTTAAATGTGACCTGTGGGTCTGTTCAGGTGTTTTGGAAACCTGCTTGCACCTTCCTGGCTGTGAAGGGCTGTTGTGCTGCTCCCTACATGCTGCTTGAAGTGAAAGAACATACCTAGGAATGACTGTATAATTCTCTTTGGAGAAAGAACCTTACTCAGGATTAAGAAAAAACCCCAAACCTGTAATTAATTTATGGGTCTAACTTCACTCTTTGATTTTTTTGTTTGTTTGTTTGTTTGTTTAGAAATTCATTGAATTTGAAGATTCTCAAGAGCAAGAGAAAAAGGACTTACAGACCAGAGTGGAAGCATTGGAGTCACAAACTCGACAACTTGAACTAAAAGCAAAAAACTATGCTGATCAAAGTAAGTAAAATATGCTGCACTCCCTGTGAGTGATATTAGTGCATTTTAAGTTTTGTTCTGTAAAGTGATAACACATATGCTAAATATCTGTGCTATCTGACTCCTGTACTTTGACAGATAACTGGGTTTAACTCTTGTGCAAGTTTGTTTTCCTTAGAATTAAGGCGAACAAATTAAATATAATCTTGTGACTCGTAATCTGATTCTTCTGGTATCCTGCTTGTTTTGCTTGCCTTTTTGACTGTGCTATTTTCTTGTTTAGCAACTTTTTCAGGAGATACTTAGGACTTACTCCCTTGTTAGTGATGATAAAATAAGCTATTTATTTCCCCATTAAAACAGTGTCTGTGCTAAACTAAAGGTAGTCTCTTTGGGTTTAGAAGCACAGCTGGGATAAGAAGTGCATTGATTCTGATTCTCATTAGCTTTTATATAATTTTTCCTGAATTATTTATGAGGCATTTAGTTTTTATAGCAGAAGAGTTCAGGAAGAACACTTCCCTTTTTAGGGATGTTCTGTGTAATTTATTAAAAAAAACCCAAAAAACAACTTGTGTAAGCTTTGGAAAAAGATGACTGATCAGTTTTCCTGAAACACTGAAAGTATATTGTAGTGTAGACGTTCTGCTGGGCTGCTTTTTGTTCAGGTACACAGTCATTGGATGAAACTCCATCACCAGTTTTTCTGCCTTTCTGCTTCTCACTTCTAAGCTGCCTTCTGTTGATGTAAGACTGGTGTGTTCACGAGTTAATATATAGCTTTTATTGCTGGGCCATGCAGGAATGTAAAGTGAGACTGTGACAAGGCTGAGATAAGATCAGTTTCTAAAAGCAGGGTGCCAGTTGTCAAAATAGCCCCTTTTTACTATTGCTTTCCTTATTTCTACCCAGCCACATTTCCTGCCCACAGCACAGCAAATTATAGCTCTTTTCCAACTTAAGGTATTCCTGTAAAGTTGAATTTTCAGTGGCATGAGTGAGTTTATGGCAAGGTAGAAGTGTTAGTCCAGTAGTGTTAAGTTCAACACAGGTGGCCTGTAGAGTTGAATCTTCCTGAAATTTGAGTGGTTTAGAATGGTGTTTGCAAATCTTGAAGACATGTACTACCTCAGTTCCACTGCAGTTAAAATATTCCTGGATTCTGTACAGGCAGTGATGGAGGAACACTTCAGACAGTCTTTCCCAGTGAGGCCCAGGATGATTCTTTTTTTGTGAGTGTATCTTTATAGATCAAGTCAAGCTAAAATGGATAATTGTAAAGCACATTGCAGAGATTTGTCTCAGAAACGCTGTGATTCTTGTGAATGGAATTGTGTGTGTGTTTAAAAGCGGGAGAAGAGGGGGAAAAGAAAACATTGTGACAAGAGTTGAGTGGTCTGTTTTGGTAACAAAGACACTGTTTCCAGAAGGCCCGTGCTCTAAACCCACAGCCCAAACAACTTGTCAATGGGAGACCCTGCACTCTGACAACAAGATTATGGCATCAAGATTGCATCGTGCCCTATAGGCCATTACTTTTTCTGTCAATACAATAAAAAGTACAAACCAGTTGAACAAAAAAGAAAAATCATTTGGGTTTCTGGCAATGCACGTGGCAGCATACCTTGAGTTTCTCTTCTAGAAATTGCACTTGCCATGTATTGATAAAACCATTTTATGTTGCTCCATGAGTCTGTTTGTGTGAAATTCTCTGTTGTATTTGAAAGCTTAATATTCAAGGCAATGCATGATTTTAAACTTTCAATTATATATTATGTGTATATATGATAATAATGAAAGCATTTGCACAAGAAACTCAGTTGTTCCAGTAGAACCACTGAGGGTTGGCTAGAACTACTTTTTTTGTAAGAAATAATACTGTTAAAAACAGTTATCATAGCTACATAAAGCTCTGATGTTGGAGCATTGACTTTTAAACAGTTCCAAAATCTATTTATTGTAGAAAAAAAAAATCTTTTTCTTAGGGAAAAAACTCATGTGATAGCAAAATTGTATCTTTGGAGAAACAGTGGGGCTGGGTTGAACATTGAGTCTTGCTTATGCTTTGGGTTGATAAGCTGTCTGGGGCAACATGAAAGGCTGCTGGGAAGATTTGACATGCTGCTGATGCAGAGCAAGATCAAAGGGGACAGAAGCACATTTGTTGAACACCTAACAAATATTATGCAAGTGAACTGGTTTTTTTAGTGCTCCAAATTTCTAAGGTATGAAAACTATACTCGTGTCTGTATTCCTGAAGTAACCTAACTCTGCTGCATTGCTTTGTTTTGTTTTATAGACAAGACCATGATACCAAGATACCAATGTGTCACTTTAATTCACTGGGTACAGCTACAAATCTCTTATTTATATTTCTTTTTTCACTTCTACTTCCTATAGTACTGCCTGTGCATCTAAATTAGGCTCTGGTATTGCCAACTGTTACCACGTCAACATTCAAAACAGTGGTAGTGTTATCACTGGTAATGGGAGGGAGTTGCAAATGCCTGGCACAGAGCAAGTAAGCAAATAAAACCTGGCTTTGGAGTGCAGAGTCTGAGATGGCAAGAGGAGTTCATGGCATGGTTAATGGATTAGAATAGAAAACAGGTAAAACGTGATCCCACCTTGTACTGTGACTACAAGGCTTTTTGCTCCATGTAAACTCCTTGTGCTCTGTGTGGTTTTTTTCCTCAAATAAGCAAAGGCTGTGACAACAAGTTTTGTCCTTTTTAAAGTTCTGATTTGTTCTCTTGAACACCATCAGTTGTGAGGATTTGGTGAAGACTTGTCAGCCCTGGGATGGGGCAGCTCTGGAGTTTCATGGTCGAGTTCAGCATGATTGTAGATCTTTAAACGTGTGCCAGTTGAGATTGCTCAAGAAGCCATAGTTGTTTTGTCCTGAACTGTTAGTACTGGTTTGTGCAGTCTAAGTGATTGTCATGCTAAAGAGAAAAGGACATGTTTCTTTGCACTTGAATTTATCCCGTGGGATTACATCCATAACCTCGTATTCAACCTGCCAGGTTGGAATAAATCTGCCCTTTGAAATTAAAGAAGTGAAATGAGAAGCTTATTTTGCGTCAACCAGTTGCTAAGTTGCTGTGGTTCACTGACTTCTTTTCCCTGCATCAGAAATTGGAACAGTTGCTGTCAAGTACCTCCTGAATGAGGGGAGTACCGTGGTTTGTGCTTTCCTAGGAGGAAATGAAAGGAGGGAGAGATGACGGCATGACCTGGTGGCACCGCCAGGGAGACTGTGAGCCCCAGCAGGTGATGAAATCCTGGATGGTGGGAGCAGATGCACATGGAGTTACCAGCCTTGCATGACGTACAGCACCTGGTCCTGATATTTGGTGGGCTGTGACTGTTGCCTGAGTCAAGTTTGCTGCCAAAAAATGGTGCAGTGTGTGGCATCCTGGGATAATTCATTAAACTTCGTTAAATTGCTTAAAGGAGAGCAGAGGTGTAAGGATTTGCAGTGTCTGAGTGCAGGAATATGCTGCAGTGGTGAGGCTCTGTGGTCCAGCTCTTGTTTTGCAGTGCTGCTCCCCTCTGTAACTTCCCCTGGGTTGTCCCTGCCCTGGCATTGGTGTCTGTGCTGTCTGTGCAGGGAGGGGAGGGAAGGCACCACCCGTGCTCTTGGGACTCTGTGGCTTGTGGAAGGTAAAACAAGTTAAATAGCACAAAGTTCCTGGGGACTTGTTTAGGGCTGATGTTGGTACAGGCAGAGTTTTTAGGAGCTCTTGCTGGGGATTTTTAGTAAATTTTTACTGATTGTCAGCCTGTGTCTTCTGGCTTTATGACTTTAGAATTCATGTATTGTTTTCTGTTCTTGGCAGCAGAGGGCACCTGTGAATGTTGTGGAGGTGCACTGAGCATGGCAATGCCAGGTGTTCAATAAATACAAGTTTAACAGTTAAATTCTTTCCTTCTTCCCTTCATCGTGCTTGAGGCAGTCACCTGTCTTTGATACAATCTTATTAAATTAAAGAATTAAACATTTCTTACAAGAGCTCAAATGTATCTGACTTTCACATTATTTCAAGTCTTTGCTGTGGCGACACCCCCTAATTTTACTCATAATGGGTTTGCAGCATTAAAATATTTGAAATTTCAACCTTGGATCTGCAAAACCAGGCACACAGAGCTGTTAAAAACTTGTCATAGCAGTATGCAGCTCAGTTGGCCAGCAATACTCCGTGAAGGCACATGATACTCCCTGGGATACTGCTCAGTCTCCAGTTACAGAAAAGGGTAAGAGCCTCTCAGAGCTCATGTGATGTGCCAGTGAGTTCTGGGGGGGCTACAGAGGTTTGTTTTAGTCCCCTTCTTTGCCTCCCCTTTTGGGATTGTCATTTCTCTCTATATTACAGGCTGTAAGCTAATTAAATTTTTTTTTTTTTTTAATAAAAGATGACCGTAGTGTACTTTGAGTTACTATGGGAATGGAGCAGCTTTGGAGTAAGCTTTCTGGAGAAATCATTCTCAAAGTAACTTATTTATGAGAGGATCTGAAAAACACCATGTCTGCGTGGCTGAAGTGCTTTCTGATGGAGGTGGTAGGCTGTGGGAGTTGAAAGATTTGGTTCCTTTTCTGGATCTGCCTAATGCTAAAGTACAACCCAGAGAACATCCTGCGTCTGAGAAGACAACAGATTTATTTCCATACTTCAGTTTATCAAACATGAGCTTTGGAATTTGTGCTCAAGTTAGATTATATTTGGGGAAAACTATATTTGTAAAAAAGCCCAAACAAATCACTTCAAAACAAACAAACAAACAAAACGAAACCCAAACAAACATAATCCCAAGAAACAGGTCTTGATCTTCAGCTGCAGATATTGTGGCACAACTGCTGGGGTGATTGTATTTCCCATGTCAGGTGACATCGTGCTGCTGTTGCTTGCCCAAGGTTTTATTTGGGATATGAGACAGACACTTTGGCAGCTGACCTAAAAACATTTATTTTCCTCGGATTCTAAACAGAGCTGTTGCTTCGAGAGGAAATGCAAGACCAG